CGGTAATCCGAACCTTTGTCACCGCGCCTTTGCTTGCGGACAACGAGAGCCAGTTTTTACAGTAGGCGCGCACACATCCCTTACGCTCTCGGAAGCCGGTAATCCGAACCTTGGTCACCGCGCCTTTGCTTTACAGATTGTAGACCCCATAAGCGTATCCGCTGTTGGGGAATAAACCCTAATATGGGATATATAGGGACCCTGCAAAAAAGTAGGTTTTGGGTTCTTAAGGTGTAGGGTGTCGGGCCCAAATTTTCACAGGCTAGGCGGACGACCTCCCGGAATCGCCATGGCGCGGACTTCTCGGTTCAATCGTTCGACCTAGAGTGGCTTCTGCAAACTGTGGGGTTCTTTTTTGTCAGGATTTAGGTTTTAGGTTTGAGTTTCGGAATTTAGGGTTCTAGGGTGTTTGGGGGTACCTTCTTCAAGGACTCCTTGCTTCATAGGGTTCCTAATTCCTTTGAAACCTATAGATTACAAACTATCCCACCCTCGTTTGGAGTGCCTTCATCATAACGGAGATGCTGCTTTTAGTTCGGGTCCAGACTAGGGTCGCCTTCTCCCTGGTTCTTGGGAATGAGGGACTGGATCCCTATGATCGTCCCTGAAGTCCCCCTTACGGTCCCTTATGGTATTCCCTTAAGATCCCTTATAAACATATAGTCCCTCAAGGTCCCTTATAGTCCCTTGAGGTCCCTTATAGTCCCCGTAACGTCCGTTATAAGTCTCTTGAAGTCCCTTCTAGTAATCCTCATAGCCCCATTCCCCTTCCCTACTGAGACCCAAGAAGTTCTCCGAGACTCCCCCTGCCAACCCTTTTACCCTAAACCCCAAACCCCGTAGTAACCCTTTTGCAACTGGCGTGCAACGCCACGCCAGGGCAGCTGACCCACACTCACCCGAAACCCTACACCATAACCCCAAACCGCATACTAACCTACTAACCCTAAGCCTTAAAGCCTGTTTTTCGACAGGCCCACCTTCTCTCCTTGACCACCCCGCGAGTAGGACAAGCCTCCGAAGATCTGGGCGGCCTCTCGTGCGCAGTATTCCATGACCTGTTTCGGCGGGGGTGTTTAGGCTTGGCACACTTCCTCGATTCGTTCGTGTCGTCCCTTGCGGTTTTGAGTTTTGGGGTTTAGGGGTCGGGACACTCATGGGGTTTAGGTCGTCGGGTGCTCTGGGCCACCCGCCTTGGTGCACTGCACCTTGCACAGAGCCGTGTGCCCCCCAAGCTTCAGCATGGCCTCAAGTTTGGGCATGGTATTCAGCTGGAAGGTGATCCACTCCAGCCAGTTGTGGGTCGCTTCGATTTGCCGGGCCATCTCCGCTACCTTCCACCGAATTACGGGGTGCTGGATGAGAGTCTTCCCGAAGGTCTTGCGCTTACCGGCGAACTTCAGAGAGTCTTCCAAGCAAACCCTGGCGAAGCGCGTGCTCATCGCGCAGAAAGCGAAACGCTCGTGGTTGAAGTTCCTCTCTTCTGCAATGGTGGGGCCCAACAAAGTCCAAACTTACAAGATGGACCCAATCGACTAGGCCCAAAAGTTATAAAAGTTCTCCCATTCGCTACCTAAGGTTCTGCATCATGTACTGGAAGCCCTTGCCCTCCTTGCCGAGCAGGTTTCCCTTCGGCACCTGGCTGCGAAATGCCGAGTTCATGCCGGCGGAACTGCAAAACACAAGCATAAGGGGCTCAGGGCTAATCCTCCCAGCTCGGAATCGGGAGCCACCCTGAAAACTTCAACCAAAAAGACTATGCGAACACGCCCAGGCATGAAGCCTTGACATCGTCGAAGGTGATGTAGGTTGTGCCGGAAGACCATGCGCCCGAGCACTTCATCTTCCGCGTCTCCACACCAGGCATGTCCTTCTCCACGAGCAGCAAGCTGATGCCACCTACACCAGGCTTTCCTGTGCGGCACGCCACAGTGAAGTAATCCGCGAAGATGCCGTTGGTGATCCACTTCTTCCTGACTTCGTAAACGGCAATCGGCAGGGCCGGGGCTAGAAGTGAGATCGCAAACACAGCTTCCGAAATACAACAAAAACAGCTTCTGCTGCTTGCTCAGCAATGCTTCTCGCCGTTCAGAATGTAGTGGTCGCCCTCCAACTTGGCACTGCACCTTAGGTGATGAGTATCCTAGCCCAAAAAGGTTTACCCATTGAATTCATGGTAGGATTATATAAACCCCAAAAAGTTAAAGGTTAATACAAAATACCCTAAACCCTACACCCTAAACACTAAAATTAAGTACTTAGCTACTAAGGCACTTCAAGTTGGCCACATCACTGCCGGCCGTAGGCTCGGTGATGGCCAGGCAGCAGACCTCTAAGTTTGTAGCGAGCGACTCTACTCTATGAAGGGGTATGGGTACCTCTCTAGACTAGGGTCCCTGTTAGGGTCCTGTTCTGCGGATCCAAAAAAGTCCCCAGTTAGAGCTACTCATGTGTTGATCCTCAATGCCTTAATAAATGTGCTGGTCTGATCTCTTCTCGAAGGCTGCATGGGCTGAAACAAGGACACCCAGTATGCTGAACCCCCCCACCTTCTCACCCTTCACACATGGAGGCATCACCCGCTGCTTCAACTCCTCGCTGCCGTGGTGGTATACCGGCGGTAGCCCAATGGTGGTGCCTCCGGCTATTCCCCATTGAAAGCCAACTGAGCCGGTACGCGACATCTCGTCGTACCTGTGAGGTGGTTCGCGAATTCACTTGCCACTCAGAATGGGGCTTGAGCACAAAAAATGGAGCTGAAGAGATGACGCAAATGCGTGCGAGAGGCATGATCAGCTCGTGGAAATAGTCCGGCTCGAAGCCCCATGGGGCCTTGCAAGGCAACGCAATCTGGAACAAGACGCTGCCAAGGCTTCAAGCCCAAACCACTGAAAACCAACCTGAAAATGAACACTCCAACATGTCAACCCCTAAACCCTAAGTCCTAATCCCTACGGTCTTTCCCCCATTTTGCACACTAATCCCGCAAATGGCCTGAATACCCTTGCCTTGAACCCTAAAGCCAAAACCCTAAACCCTAAAACACCCTGAATGCCATTGCCTTGCCGTAGTACTTCTCTGGCCAAGGCCGGCCGATGCACAAAGCCAAGGTCCCCTGCTTTCCGGCCTCCAGATACCTGGTAAAGCTGAGCTTGGCTTAGGGAGTTTTACCCTAAACCCTAAGCCGTTAACCCTTTTTCTGCTGGGAGTTTTCGGGTTTAGGGCTTAGGGGCTTAAGGCTTCAAGGCCGAAGACCTGAAGTTGTCTGGCTTCCCTGGGTCTTCATTCTTTCTCTCCCGCCTTCGAAAAGTTTGGTGGCTGCGGCCTCACACTTCGCAAGGCCGAGCCCGAATCTTTGGTGTTTAAATGCTGGGTTAGCGTGTGAGTTGTGTTGTTAGCATAGACTGCTTCCTCATCTACAAATGAACCAACAGCCAAGCTGGCCGTGTAATGTGGGGCCTTAATAATTAGAATAGGGTTTTGGGCTCCTTTATAGTATTACTATATTAATGGAACCCTCACAGTAGTATTGGTAATTGTGTATGCTTCTATATTATACATGCTCACTGAACTTGACAGGGTGCATCTCCTTGGGAATGACACCCTTCTCGTCCTTGGCTGGAGGGTTATGCATGGCGGCGTTACGCAACTCGGGCAAAGGTTTATGTGTCAGTATCTTTGCTTACTATATGGTGCTCCCACCTGGAAGAAGAGCTAAAATGCAATAACTACTTGGTCAAGAGTGTCCCAGTCATGCACATTGGACATGATATGCTCGTCGACGTACTCTCGCATCAACTTGCGGAACTGCTTGTGGCTGTCGTTGTAGTAGGGCGTGTTGTACGCCTGGTACCAAGACGGATCGCCAAAGGGATGACCTTCACCGTACACCTGCGGCTGGTTCTCGGGCCCTTGACAATCACTTGGGATAGCAGAAGCCAAGAGATCCTGTTCATGAGCCCCCCGGGCATGGAATGATTTCTTTTGAAGGATCTGCAAGTCATATAGAGCGCTGTATAGTAGGATCTGTATTCTAAGGATCGGTAGATACCTTACCTGTGACTTCCTGAAGCCCTGCAGCCAGAATCAGAACCCCAAAAAAAACTGCATGTCGAACTGGCAGAGCAAGGAGTCGGTGAGTTCTGGTTACGGTTTAGGGTTTAGGGTTGAGGCCTCCGTGTTCATGCCCTTTAGCATGGCCGGGCTCACCATGGCTTGAAACTCGAGCTTGCTAAGTGGGCAGGGAAGACTTGATGCCAAATGCTGCGCGCGGCAAACCTGCTCCAAAATATCGATACATTTATACGGTTCAGGGGCTAGGCTGTTTCAAGCTCAAGATCACAACAACCTCTGATTGAGCTCCGTTACATTCTAGGCGCACGCAACACCAAACCTGCAACTCCCATAAGCCAGTATGGTCCAGCCACAGACAGCAGAGTCAACCTTTGAATCGAACGCGAGACAGCGTCTTGGTAGACGTGAGTACAAACAAAATCGTGTCACTGCCGGCGCATTCCGCCCCACCTCAACGCCAACAGCTGCAAACCCTTAAGCGTCACTAGGCTCTCGGCAGGGTTCATTTTAAGCCACAAGAAACTAAAAACCCCGAACCGTGCGAATCTCTGACACCCCCAAACCCTCAAACCACTAAAAGCGACCAAGCAAGCAGAGAATCCAGAGGCCCCAAGCCAACTGGTAGAGGCGCTGTCCCTTCACCTGCAGCCAAGGAACGCATTCCATAAACTAAAGGGTTAGTTAAGGGGTTTAGGGTCTCAGGTTTAGGGTGTTAGAGTTTGAGGTGTAAGGTTTAGTGTAGGGTTTAGGGTTAGTGGCGTTTCAAGGGGCCTAGCAAGTACAGCGATAAGTACCGCAATTGGGGCTATAACGGATACCTCACTTCTGGCCCTACTCACTAGGACAGTTAAGGGTTTTTAATTTGGGCGATGGATCCCACAAAACCCTAACCTCAAAAATAGGAAGCTCTCCCTCTCCGCTCTTTCTGCTATGCTTGCATGCATGCACATAGACATGAGCAAATACACAAGCTAGTGTGTACATATATATATATATAGGGATGTATGTATGTGTGTATACGTACTGATGTAACTATATATGCGCACATGTGCGTGCGCGCATGTGTGTGTGTGTGTGTCTCTGTCTGTCTGTCTGTCTGTCTGTCTGTCTACTGTGTGTGTGTGTGTCTGTGTGTTTGTGTGTGTGTGCGTGAAACTCCCATCCGTACTATGATCCCGACAAAGCAGCAGGGGTAGATTAATCAGGGGTTTAGGGTTTCGGGCTTTGGGTGGTTTACCTTGTCGGTTGTGGTCCAAGCTGTAGCAACACGAAAGTTTCAAGCAGCAAGCTCTCAAAACCACGTCTTAGGGATCCTGCCTTCAGAGCCGAGTACATGGGCGGCACCTGCACAAGCCGAGGTCTATATGTCTTACGTACACAAGCTATAGGGACTTCTCCTGAACCCTAAGTCCATGCATGGGTGTAGGAGTGAGGAGGCAGGGAGCACAGCTTGGCTGGGATGACGAAAACTCGAATGGCCTGTGCGGTTGAAAACGGGAAGAGATCGGCTTCTCAAGTTTTTCTCCAGCTTGGCCCCAAGCCGGTGTTCGGACAGGGCATCAGTAACTGTCTCCACTGGATGCCGGTTGCCAACACACATACATCTCATGGCTTCGTATCCCTCTCATTGTCGCGGATGAAGCCGATTAACTACCGATTGAAAATCTGGTGTGCTGCTGCCATGTCTTGTATGCCCATTAGCGTTGCCAGCGCAATGGCTTCCCAAAGGCAACCGGCCCCTCACGCAAGTGTCCCAGGACAAGCTGCAAGCAGCTGATCACTGATGCGCCGCCTTTGATTTAGCATGATTTAGCAACAGGGCGCTCACCAAACGAGAAAAGAAAACCTCAACAGGCCCCGTTTCATAGTTTACACCTGGACTCCCTGCACGAGACCCTAACCTCGGGAGAGTTTCAACGCGAAAAACTCGAAGCTTAAGCGCATCTTGTAAGTTTGGCTCAGGGCGCCCTGCCGACAGGCTCGGGATGAGCAACGTCCTGAGCTACTGGGGGTCGCTCTTCCCGATGGTTCCCTTTGCTCAATCTCCTTCGACCTGTGTTACAGTCTGTTTAGGCACCCCTTAGGTGTATGTATATATATATATACATATATATATATATATATATACGTATACAAGACACGGGCAAGATGATTCCTAATCGTTAGAAGAAGAGGCACCTTAAGTCTTAAGTGAGACCGGATGAGAAGCTACCCATACTCTCCGACATCTTTTTTCGGTGATCTTGCACTAACCATAGCGATAAAGTTGGCTTGGCCAAGAAAAAGGGACTGCAATAGCCCGAAACCCGACTCCCTTTTTGGGTCTCTTTTAGAAACCACTACAAAACTTGGAAGCCTGCATTAAGGAGCACTAACCCCAAGAAGTCACTTAAAGGAGCTCTGTTTAGAACGACCCTCCGTTGCGAAACGATTGGAATCACTGTCCCTTGCCGGCGATGTTCGCCACGGCAAAGACCTGAACTGCCAAAAGCCGTTAAAATGTGGCGGGTTGTAGGGTTCAGAAGAGTAAGTCAAGGTTTTCGGTTAGGGCTTCGTCGGAAGTTTGACGAAATAGATGGCCAGAAGCAGGAATTACTCTTCAGCACCGGGGGTGGCATGGATCTGTCGGCCATCTGCCAGGAACCATGGACCATTTCATCCGCTTGCAGCGAACCCTAAACCACCAAAGCCGACATGTCTGCCAACTTCCACGCCTCTTCGCAAAGTCTGAAAGTCTCATACGAGCATCGGAATAAAATGAAATCGGGTTTCTGTCCTTCCCCTAAACCCTAAACCCTAAACCCTAAACCGTGGTAGACTTGGTTTTTGTACTGACTCTGGAGATGACTCAGGAGTAGATTGTTTACTCGGGCGGTAGGCCATTGACTCGAAACTTCCGAAACGACGCTGTTCGATGCTGCACCGACGTCTGTAGAGACTCTTGGCATTGAGCTTGCAGCAGCATGCCGCATGCTGCTCATGGCGGGAAGAAGCGCCTCACGGGAATGCCCCTACATGGGAGTTGTGTAGTAATTCTCTGTTTGGAGGATCGTGGAAGAGAAATCAAATTCACACAAGTACATACAACATTCCTGCGCTGTGCTGCGCCTATCTACAAACACGGAGAAAACAAAAGAGAAAACCAAGAAGCTGGAGCGCTGTTGACACCGCAAACGTTGAGTTGGTGGCACACATGGAAGCAAGGTTGCCTACAGGGAGAAGGAGGCACAGTGTTACTAGAGCCGGTATACCAGTTTCAAGCAGCAAATCCCGTCAAAGTCTATCATGTACCTAACGTTTGCCTTCATCCACCACTGCATGCACTCCTAGAATGCTATTGCACATGCCTAGCCGCAGCTTCCAATGAAGACCGCGGGATCTCACGGAAGTACTGCTGCCGGCCTGTTCGTGGTCTGCCAGACGGTTGCTGGCATCACCAGCAAGGAAGTCTCGGGACCGAAACAGTTGCGCCTCGGGCAAGAGGCAAGTCTTGATGCAGACTCATGTGGTCGGTCTGAGTCGGTGGCGGCGTGAGCTTTCCTGGCACCTGCCAGGGCTGATTTTGGTCACGGTCACGGTGTGTGGCATCAGTTCGGGAACCCTTTTCCGATCTATTCTGGGTTGCCGTTTCCGATGGTTGTCGAAGGTGACATCAACAGTTCGGGGTTCCACGTGCCAGCCAAACAGTCCAACTGCAAAACCTGACAAGTATATGATCAGATGGAAATGCAGGCAGCTTTCGCAGGCGAGGCCACATGACATGGTAACTTTCTCAGTTGGTGGCAATTGTCGCTGGCATCCTATTCAGGTAGCAGGTGCTGACTTCTGAAGCCATGGAACACACTCTACTCGTACAGCAGCACAGGTCGAGGAAACCTTCTACCATTGCACTATATTGCACTCACCGGAACGGACCCAGCTTCAGCTGGATGACCTTGGGTTTTCTTCTTGAATGACCCTTGTGCGTCTCGCGAGGAGGTCCGAGGGTTAAGGGCTTAGGGTTTCGGGTCTTCGAATCTGTCGCAGGCCCGGAATGGCACGCAAAGCCTCACGAGGCCACACGGCAGACCTTCATAGGTGCCGTGTAAACAAATATTGAAAGCAGCAATCAACCCCCAACCGTTGTGCAAAACATGGCAGGCAGGCAGAGTTCGGCAAAGAGGGCGTGTTGTTCATGAGCTGCAGAAGCTGGAATGCCCTGATTGAGCTTCCAAAGCGTAGGGCTCAAGCCCAGCATCCCACTCCCAGACTTGACATCTCTACCCCTTCAGGAAAACCCGTTGCTGGCGGCATGAGGGGGGTTTACGAATTCATGTTTTGGAGGTCAGCTGTATGATTGTTTAAGGCATAGTCAATGCTGAACGGATGGGAGTGGGGTGGCGCCGCTGCTTGGTGCAACATGCGCATGCCCTGGCCCAGAGAAACTTCACGAGCATGAGGTTACACCCCTTCTCGAAACAAGGAGGGGGCCATTGGATGTGATTTTGGGTTCAGGGTAAAGGGTTCGTCTTCATAAGCCCTGAACCCGAAACCTAAGTCCTAGGTAGGAGATCTAAACTTGGATGCGCTTTGTTTGGGGCATCTTAGCAAAAGGAGTTGCTTGCCGATGCACTCGTCCAGCTGAACTAGGCAGAGGCAGTTGCAGCGGCAACATGGACAGGGTTGAATAGTATCAAAAAAAGCAGTAGTCGTCGGCGTCATCGTCCTGGTCTTCTTGTTGTTGTTGTTGTCGTGGTTGTTGCTGTTGCTGTCGTTGCCGCCGTCGTTGCCCTCGCTGCTGCTGCTGTTGAACGGTAGTCGCAGTGTGGTAGTACAACAAAACTAAATCATGCCGACAATCGCACCAAAGGTTTTGGGCCACCCACAGAAACGGTTAGCATTGACGATGTCTATTCCTCAGGCAATAGAACCAGTAGCAGCAGTAGCCATGCTGGAAACATGACCAATAGCCATAGCTCATCTTATTTCTATCAGAAAAATCGTCAGAGTGCATCAGCCCTACTGGTACCAATACCAATGCCCTAAACCCTAAACCCTAAACCCTAATACTACGAAGTCTAAGCAAAAGGCGGTTCTGCCCATGGCCCTCAAGGCACCAGCCTCTTTCGGCTCTGGATCTCCTCTTCAATGCCGTGCCATGTCGGGAGCTGGCTGTTCACCTGCATCTATGGAGGCGATGCTTTATGATGAACTTGTATGAACTTATTGTAATTTGATGGCCTAACTTACTTTGACTTAGTATCACAATGCAGGAATACATCAACATTGCATTATGAGCTATAATATCGTGGGTTACAATGGAATTTAGTAAAGTACAGCATGCGAAGTGATCGCCGACATCGCTCAGCCCCCATCCTGTGCTCTTCTGCCGTGACCCCGACTTGGGCTCTCCTATACCCCGTTACGACATGTTGAACCAAACCACAGCGTCTCTCTCCCACTCTCTCCTGCGGACTTGATCATCCGTCAGCTGCGACCCCAAACACACTCTGAGAGATGTGCCGGAAAAGGGACCACAACATCTACACAACTCCTTTCTCAAGCCCCATGTCAAATAGACATGACAATGACAGGCCCCGACAGGCCGCGACTCCCAAACTTTCACTCACTCCCTCAACAAAACTTCCCTGAACCCTGAATTCAATCGTGCACTGGGTTCTTTGTTGGGCTACCTCTGGCCCTCTGAAGCCCTTCTAACCTCTAAACCCCTGTAACACCTAAACCCCCTTCAACTGAAGACTTCTCCGCGGCGCGCCAGCCACTCGGCCACTGTTGCGAAGTCGACGACGCCTTCCGGGGCCTGACAACGTCGTCCGGTTTAGGATTCAAGGCCATGATACCACAGGGTTCAGGGTTTAGGGTTTTGGGTTCAACCAAGAACCTGCTGCAGCAACTCCCCCCCGCCCGCGACTCTCGCGGCTCCCTCCGGTTCACGTTACATCATGTGTCGTCTTGTGCACCCCTTGTGTTTGAGCAGGGGCTGCAGAGCACATTGTATTGATCAAGACCCTGAAAATGCGACTGCGTTCTGTTTACCTGACCGGGCCGAGGCGGACGACGTGAAGCTTTTCCGCATTTCCAGACATCCCTGAACTCTCCTAGGTTGGCCCTCTAAGGCCCCTGAAAACATTAGTAAATAAGATCCACTTAAGCCGAATGGGGAAAACAAAACATGTCCCAAGAGCCTACCTAGAAACTCTAACCGAACCAAATGAAAGAGCTAGACATTCTTGACAAAGCAGTGCGAGTAGCAAAGCCAAGCCTACGAAATTTGCTGCACGCTGCCCGTTTTGCGAAGCAACACATGGAGCATTCCCTCCAGAGTGTCCGTCAACTGAATGGAAGGCAGCTCGTAGCTACCAGTAGTCGTCAGTGTACTCAATCTCCTGCACATCACACCAAACAAAGGTTACCTTCTTGTGAAGCTTTTCGCAATGTGGTCTGCATCGATCATCGCACTCCCATTCCGCGGTGAAGGTGGTCGTCTGCTCACCGTTACACCAACAGTGCCACCAACCCTTCTGCGACTCATTCGCCGTCTCCGCATGTTTGGTCACCTGCGCCTGTCGCAGAGCAGCACAGAGGCCCGGGAGCACCAAGAGAAAGCGGAGAAACATGGCTGTGGAAGTGCACTTGGCAAACGACAGGCAGACTTTACTACTTGAGCCTTGAGATGCCTTGAGCCGTAGCCGGGGGCATGGCTTCATAGGCATATGGTTTGTGGTTGAGGGCGCTTAGGGCTTCGGAGGCTCATGATCAGGAACTGCTGTGTTGAGTATTAAAGTATAAGGTCGAGGGGTGGGAATTAATTCTATTTGTAACTGAAGGCGGTAGGTTTTTAAGGAGCTTATCAAGGTCCTTGTTTCCTTCTACGAGGTTTGGCTCTTAAGTAGCATGGTAGTAGGGATATCTAATGCATAAGCCATAAGCAAGAATATAAACTGTCCCAAAAGCCTACCCAGTCTCAACCCTAAGCATAAACAAGGACGCCTCGAGATCCCAAGCAGCTGCGTTGGGTGACTTGGCCCACTCCTGCAGCTGATCCACCACCTGAGAGCCACCGAATTGTTTTGTTCCCCTCTCACATTGCAGAGATCACAGCAATTTAGGAGCCGTAAGAAGTAAAATAGGCTTAGGGATACAAACTACGTAGGGAGTAGCGACTCTACTATTCCGACAATAGTATTAGGGTCGGGAGCCATGGGAGTTGAAGTTGCCAAAATCTGGGCTGGGACAGGGAACTGCTTTGGGCGTAGAGTTCAGCTTTTCTACTTATCCATCCCTAAACCCTAAACCCTAGACCCTATCCCTCAGAGCGACGCCCCCAAAGCCCAACCCAAAACCCTGCCACAGCCTCAAGCCTCCTCGCAGAGCGCCAGGCGAAACAAATCCTCAACGAAAACAACCCAAAAAGAAGACCTGTAAAGGAACACGTGAGTACCACTAAGTCTTGACAAAACAGAGACTACCTACAGTCTCCATGGTAGTAAGTCTGTAGGTAATTCCAGCGCCCTGAATGAACCAAAAGGAGAAGCTCGCCCGACAGCCCTGCGCCCCGAAACTTCGAAACCACAACAAAGGGGCCTTAGCCATTGTTGATACTGTCGGGATATATTGTATTGTAACTATACCAGGGGCCATAACGGAATACTGTTACGATTTCTTCCGACCCTTATGGTAAACAGCCGCACCAAACCAAAAAGACCCCAAACCCAACCCTAAGCCCTCATCCCCCAATCCCCAAAGTCTAAGCCCAAAGCCCTACGCCCCACCCCCTAAAAAATCTAAGCCCTTACCCTTTTACACCCCTAAACCCTTTCAGCACGGACTGAGGTGCCGCCCCTAAACCCTAAACCCCTGTTTTTGAAACCCCAAAGCCCTTAGCCCTAGACCCCCAAACCCCTAAAGCCCTAAGCCCTAAGCCCTCAGCCCTCAAACAAAAACCGCAGTAACTCTCAGGCGAACCGGACCCAGGGCCTCGGGGACCATGTCAGCGCTCCACCTGAGCGATGAATTCTTGAGGTTTAGGTTTTAGGGTTTAGGATTTAGGGTTTAGGGTTTAGGGTTTAGTGTTTAGGGTGTAGGGTTTAGGGTGCATGTGGTCATGTAGTATATACATTGGCCTTAATGTAGTCCCTATATAGGTACTTTAGGGCCCATGTATATACATGGACCCTTAGGGTGTATGATATTGGGCCTGAATGATTGGAATAAGGATCCTTTTTCAAATGGTTCCTGTAAGGAATACTAATTATAAGGGTTTAGTATAAGGGCCTTAATAAGTTTGAATTGGGTTTTGGGGCACACATACTACAATTGTACTACGGACCCCCTTCCCCGACAAGAAAAACTAGCGTTGGTAATGATTTAGGGCTTCTGGGGCTCAGGGCTTTAGGGTTCTATATGGGTTCAGGGTGTAGGGTTTCAGGGTTGCGCGTGGGTTGCTGAACTTTAGCGTTGAGCTTAAAACTTAGTTAGCCACCAAACCTCCCAAAAGAAGCCCAAAAAACACGGCACATACAATGCAATCCCCAATGAAAGCTTCAAGGGTTTCGGGCCCCAAACTCTAACCCTAAACCCCAAAATCCCAAAACCCTAACCCCAAAACCCTAAAACCCTAAATCCCAAAACCTAAACCCCAAAACCCGAATCCCCAAACCCTGACCCCGAAAGGTTTTGGGCTCCGAAGATCGCTCCAAAAAAACGCATCCCGGCGACCTCGAGGAAACCAGGCGCTGGCACAGAGATCCGAAGTCTTCCATGGCCTGAGGTTTTTAACTTCCTGTATGGGTTTCGGGTTTAGGTTATTAGCGTCCTTTACGGGTTTCGGGTTTAGGGATTATAGGCTCAAGGGTTTAGGTGTTTAGCTTCCTTTAAGGGTTTCGGTTTTAGGGTCAAGGGTTGAGGCTTTGAGCTTCCTCTTAGGGTTTACGGTTTAGGGTCAAAAGGGTTTCGACTCTCACTCGCTCACACGCAGGCAAGGCTCCTCGTACATCCGTCACGCCAGAGGACATGCAGGTTATTCATCACCAAAACTCGCTAACACCCTAACCACCAAAACGCATGCACCTGCATCTTCTCTGGATCTTCCTAGCCATCGGTTCATGGCCCGGCTCCACTTAGCATGTGGCACCGAGCTGCAGCACACACACACACACACGAGTAAAGATGGTTTTATGTAGCAACACTAAAGTAGTTAAGACAGCTAGAGAAGGTTCGTGCTACTGCAAATCAGCCTATTTCAAAAGATCTACTCCGCTAACTTTGTCAAGTCATGAGACAGTTGCTCAGCCCGCGAATTTACATGTTCAGGCTCAGCTCACAAATTCATCGTTGTACTCAGGGGGCTCAAGGGTTTAGGGTTTAGGCTTTTAGCTTCCTTGAAGGGTTCCTGTGAGGGGTGCGTTTTGGGTTCCTTTGAGGGCTGGGGTTTTTGCAGTTTGCAAGGTTCCTATGAGGGGTTCTTTTTGGGGGCCCTTTACGGGTTCCAATAAGGGGTTCTACAAGCGATGATGCCATCACAGTGGCGAGGATGACAACAGAAGCGCAAAAAGCAACACGTGCACACACAATATATAGGTCTCAGTCGTAAGTACAGTGTCAACGCAAGCCCAGTTCAGCTTCATTCTATGTTGGCCTTGGGACCATAGGAGGGCTTGATTAATCAAGGGCTCAAATGGGTTTAACGGTAGGGTGTGGTCTATGGGGCTAAAGTGTTGAGGGCTTTGGGTAGGATTGGGGCATGAGGCCTTGAAGGTTTTAAAAAGAGCCTCGAGCTGCACCATAAAGCTCACAACTCTAGAAATGAAACCCTGGGATCCAAAACAGAAAACCCCTCAACCCTCAAAACTGCATAACCCCGAACATTAAAACCCCAAGCCACTCAAACCACCCCCGAACTCAAGAAACCTAAGCTCAAATTCCTCCAACTGTCCTCTAAACCCCTCTTCAAATGCAAACTCCAAGCTCGGTCCCCCTAGATCTGAGGTTCAAACCATGGCCCAGCCTCATGGATGCTGAGTGTGGGCTAAAGGGGGGCCACTAATAATTGTCGGGTTTCCCTGTACCGTAGCGGGCTATTTAAGCTATTAGGGTTTCTGGGCGAATATAGGTTCCTTAATGCTTAGATTCGAGCTCCTATGAGGTTCCTTAAAGGGTCTATAAGGGTTTGTAAGGGTTTCGGCTTATGACTAAACCCCGGAACGTGCCCTCGGATTTCTGGGGTCTGCAGGCGCCGAGGGCGGCCCAGGGGTGCAACAAGGCTTGGTCGCTTGGGGCCCGAGCACAATGATGACGTGGGGTTTAGGGTTTCGGGTTTAGGGTTTAGGGGTTTAGGGTTTAGGGTTTAGGGTTTAGGGTTTGTTGACGTGGGTTTTCAGCTGGCTGACTAAGACTTAAGACAGACATGAGGCTGTAAAGAGCCAGCGGCACGAGGAGAGTCCCAGAGTTTCTGTGTACATGAGACAACTGGGCTGCTTGGGGTTGAAGGTCTGTTCCCTTTTAGGGGTTCCTTTAAGGGGCTCCTTTAAGGGATTCCCTTGAGGGATCCTTTAAGGGATCCTTTAAGGGGTTTAGGGCTTAATTTGTGAAAGCCATTTGCAGAGCCGAAGCGGCAAAGAATTTCGCTCCTGATGACAAGGCCTAGCAACAACAGCCGCAGCCGTCCTCGTCGCTGTTGGTAGCGAACGTGGTACGGGCATTGAAGACATTACAAACCCTGAACCCGCGAGAGACCTTCAATAGATAATGAGCCGAAAATATCTGAATCACATACTTATGTAACATAAGAACAACTTCTCAGAATAAGCACGGCAATGAGAAATTGAAATTTAACATAACAACCATAATTGAATCATAACCGCCATAGCCAAAGTCAGTATATTTGTAGTAATCTTCTTCATGTCATGTTAACAATACTGATCTATCGCAGCAATAGTGATTTAATAACCGCATCAATACAGGAAGAATACGCTGTCCTGTCTCCAAGGCTCAAGCCCATGCGTCCATTGCGCCACTGGCCGTTGGCGAGCCTTTTGAATTCCGCACACGTCTGCTTTTCAGAATCTTGGAGCTGTGGGTTAAGGCAGGGTTAAAGAGTCAGCTGGGTGGGGTAAGGTCAGGACCGGGAGCGGCAGCGCTTGGGGTTCAGAACGCCGGCTGTCGTTCTACCATGCGGAAGTAAGGGCGTTTCTATGCCGCATTACGAGATTAGGACTCGCATAGCAGGCACATGAACAGTAGCAGAGATCATGGTGCATGGAAGAGCACAAGGCACCCTTCGAATAGCATCTCTAGTGGAAGACAACACTATCCAGAGGCTGAAGCTGGGCACCACTCGTCACAGAGACCTGCAATATCACAAGGACTCCGATATCTTGGCCCCTCTCTGTCTTAGGAAAAGGGGGGTATCCTGTGCTCGGCCATGAAACCCCACATCCAAGGAGCTGAAACCTGAAAAAAAAAACAAGAGCTGAAACCGGTGGAACATCCGAAATTCTCGTTTACAAGCATAACAAAGACCTTATAAGCCCTAAACCCATACTAAGCAGCGCCGAGCCCCGTCCCAAGGCCCAGTCAGACTCAGGCCAGTCACGAGGTAAAACGCCAGAATGTGCCACCTACTCGGGCTCTCAGGCTTTCTGCGCTCATACTCGGACAATCCAGGTGAGGCATCCCAAAACCCTAAACCCTAAACCCTAAACCCTAAACCCTCAAGCCCAGACCCTAAAGCCTAAACCCGAAACCCGTTTTGCAGCGACAGGATGGAGAGCTGCAGGATCCAGAATTTCGTGGCCTTACTTCACCAATAAGCCAGGGAAATAAAAGGTTAAACTTTCAGATGGGGTTTAGGGTTTAGGGTTTTGGGTTTAGGGTTTAGGGTATAAGAACCCAAAAAGTTTAAAGGCTGAGTATTGGAGAACTAAGTGGCGTCAGTGGGGCCTTCAGAACTCAGGGCTTCCCTCCACCCTGAGCCGTTTAAGGATGTAGGCTCTCACAACTCGGACATGCCAGGCGAGGGTTCCGTGGCTTCACGCCTCCAGAACCTGGGGACTTTGGGCCTCCTTGAAACTGTTTTCCTTCCGCCTGGCGGGGACTTTGCTGGGTTATTCTTCTTAAGGCTCAAATGCAAACCTGATCCTGGACCGCAAATCTTAGTAGTGGGGGTCAGTCTGCCGCAAGTCAGGGAACACAGGCCTGGCCCTGTTCTAAAAATGCCACATCAAGACCCAAAAGCCATAAACCACTAAACTCCATAATACCTTAAAAACCCAACACCCGCACAAGAGTGCCCACTGATTCATATCGATGAAGTCGTTGTCCGGTCCGGAGACCTCAGCGCTGGATGTCGAAGGCCGTGTTTACCGCTTCGGGCCCACCCCTACGCGTAACCCTGCCTTTTCTGTCTGGTGCTTAGTAGGGCATGGGGGAATGGGTTATAGGGACTACTATAAGGGACCTTAAGGGACTATCATAGGGATCCATTCCCCCCATTCCCTACTAAGTACGAGACAGTTTTATGCCTGTTTCTTCTTGGACCGCCCCAAACCCTAAACCCTAAACTAGTACCTCTGCGACTGCTTGTGTCAGATTGGAAGGGGCCAAGACGGAAGGAATGAGGAAGTCGTCACTTGCCGCACGAGCATGTCGCTTTGATGTCGTCTTGATGGAAAATGTGGATCGTATGCTTCTGTTGATGATTCCAAGTGCCGCACATCACTGCTACTGCTACCCAGCTACCGATCCCCGCAAAACAAAGCTACCCTTAACCCCTAAACCCCTAACGCCCCTGACCCGCCTTGCCGGTTGCGAAACCCGACATTCCTGTTGCATCCAGGCCTCTTGCGAGAAAGCTATACACCCAGGCAGCCTGAAGCCTGAACCACAAACCCTCACCCTATAAAACCCAAACCCTAGGCCAAATGCATGCGACACCCCCCAAAAAACTCTCCTGGCAAGCTCGAAGATAGGGCCATGGGCGGGCTCAAGGGATCGTGTCGCCGCCCGGAAGGCTTGCTGGACCTCAGCAAACCAGGGATCAGGCGGGGTTCGAAGGCTGCGAGTATATAACCGGGATCAGTAATTCAGTTTTTGTGCTTTCTATCTGCCTAAACCTCCGCACAAACAACATTCAAAATTCAGCAATCCGACAAACACGATCCTGCTCTCACAGAGTAGTGAGTAGGGGTGCAATGAGTAACCCTTCAGGGGTTGAGAATGAAAGGTTTGGGATTCAGGATCCAGGGCTTAGCATGCGGGCTTTCTGGTTCCCGGTCTAAGTTACCAATTGTGGAATGCATGGATTCATGGTACTTGGAGGATCATGGGACTTAGCAAGTAGGGTTATATTGGGGTTATAAGTATAGCTACCGAGCTACCCTAATTATAACCCTTCTTACTAAGTCCCATGATCCTTTAAGTAGAGGGTTCGGCAGTGGGAGGCTGCCACGTTTGCAGGATCTCCGGTCCTCGGAGCAATCATCAACTTTCCAAGTTCGACCCGCCAACATCGGCAAGATAGCCGGCCCGGGGCACCGAACCATGATGCTGAGCCCGGTGCCAAGCATTCGATGTCCGAGTGGTCCTTCAGCGTGGGTAGCTTCAGTTTTGGTTTGTTTGGGGGGATTAAGTTGGGAGTTGGGGATTCAGGATTTGGATTCTACTCAGTATGTTTTTTCAGGGATTCAGGGATTGACGCTGGGTGTGCGGATGAGTCGGTTTAGGATGCAGGGTGCAGGGTCAAGGCCCTCATGGCCCATCGATCTACGCAGTCTCGCTCTTGAGAGGCTCTAATTTCTTCCCAAACCTAAACCCCAACCCCAAATCCTCACATGACAACCGGATCGCAAGCCCAAACCTAATTGAACCAGCAAGCCTAAATCGGAAAGTGAACCCCTAAACCCACTCGATCCTCTGACCCGAAGATCTACATGTTGAAATCCCATGCCGTGGTATAGGAGTACGGAAATACAGTAGCTTTCGGCGCTCACAGCTCGGACAATCCAGGCGAGAAGGTTGGTCACGAGATCTGAAGGGTGAAAGCACTTCCTCTCCACCAAACATCCACAAGCCCCTAATCACCTAAAACCTGCCAAACGAGCAATTGGAGTGTAGAGAGGCTTATATATTCGCAAGACTGTCCTAGGTACGAATCTCGCATCCTCAAGGGGTCAGTGAAACGATGCTCATGCGGAATCCTTACGATTCTGCACTTGTCTTGTAGGATTTCAGGCTATAGGGTTTTGGCTTGCATGCGTCTTAGACGCACGGATACTCCATGGCACGTGAGGGAGAGAGCTCTAGGTTTTTGGGCTCTCCCGCGGGTTTTCGGGATCAATAAAGGGGCCTTCATAATTAGATCAGGGTTTTGGGGCCCATTCTACTATAATTGTAATAAGGAACCCCCAAAATAGTAGAGGTAATTTAGGCCCCTATAGTAGGGTTAATTAAAATAAGGAACCCCCAAAATAGTAGAGGTAATTTAGGCCCCTTATATTACAGGTACCGGCCCGAGCCGAGCCCCAGGCACATTCACGGAGCACCTTAGCCTGCTGCAGGGCCTTTTGCAGGAGGGTCCTCAGAAGGGCCCAGACTCCACAACTGCCACATGGGTAGTTCTCTTAAATTAGGGTAACTTTTGGGGATCCTTTTAATAAGGGTGCCGACTATTTTGGGGATCTAAAAAGGGACCCTAGTTTAGAGAACTACCCACATGTTCACCGTTGCATGATGCGTTGCCAATGCCTGGTAAGCTCCACGCAAGATGCTATCTTGGCTCAATGTGCCGCCCCACGCTCGAGACTTGCCCTGCAACACGACATGCACATGCAAGCTGTGCGATGCGAACTTCCTTCTTCCCACGAGGCCCAGACAGGTCTGTTACAGCTGTTGTTGCAGGCTGTTCGCCGACAACAATAGCAAGAAGAACTGCTGCTGCTGCTGCTGCTGCTGCTGCTGCTGCTGCTGCTGCAGCGGCTACCCCTGCCACTACAACCGCCACTGCCATTGCCACTACTACCACTACCACCATTACCACCTCGACTAGCGATGCCAC